TCTATTACACTTCTGAAATGTTTAAATTTGTGTAACTTGTAATAAAATTTAAAAAAATAACTAGGCTAAGGCTATCACAAAGAGCACTGAGAAGGATCTTTCAGTTAGATTTTAAAATAAAGAATAAAATGAACCAGTTAGACCGAGCAAGAACAAATTAAAGGAAGTACCATTTATACAGTTGGAAGAAAACATATAATAGGCTATACAGGTTAAAAATTTATAGAAAATCTTAACTAATGTGAATGCAATTTTAAGTTAATCTTTTCATTTTAGACTTTGTTAAAAAACTTTCTAAAATGTGAGTCTACTTTCTTAATTCTAAATTCATTCTTTCTTTGATGATTCTATATCTTGGAGTCTCCAAGTCATCTTTGTGATGATTAGTTCTCACTGTGTAGTACCGTAACAAAGGAGGCAGAATTTAGACTAATTGAAGGACATATTCTCATAGTTACTTTTAAAACTCATCTGTAAAATCAATATTTTCTTTTGATTGTTTCTCTCTTTGAAAAGTAGAGTATAGGCAATTTTAATTTAATTGATGGTCATGGTTACTAGATTTTAAAAAAATTGTAACTAGATTTAAGAAGTGTTTGAATCAGTTCATGATACTAATGGGTTAAAAAGGGAAGCTAAGGGTATTTGGGATATGTCCCTAACTATTTGAGCTGATGTCACAGAGAGTGACCTCAACCTCTCCCAAATCATTTGATTTTTTTCAACATTCATATATTTATTCAAGGAACATTTATTAAGAATCTACTATGATCCAAGCAGAGTGATGAATGCTAGTGATACAAAGACGTATAAGACACAGTCTTAGCTACAGGTAACTGACATTTCACTTGGGACCTGGCCATTAAAAACAAATCTCAGAAATATACCAAACCATCCATATATAAACATTAAAAACATTAGTAATAAGAATAGCTAACTTTTGCTGAGTACTTACTATGTACATGATCTCATAGTTAGTTTCCACAACTACCGTATTGGGTAGAAATTAATAACTAAGGCTTAGCAGGCTAAGTACCTTGCTCAAAGTTGCACAGCCAGTAAGTGATAGAACTGGGATTTAGTCTCAGACCACCTAATTCTGGAGCACTCATCCTTCTGAGAATAAGAGAAGCTGCTTTTGCTAATGTCTTGATAATACCATCAAGATGAAGCAAAACACTAAGGGAATAAAGAAATTAATTATGAGGAAATTACAGGCAAACTAGGAAGATTTCAAGCAATGAGCCATATATACTTCACCTACAAAGAAGAAATACAGCAATTTATAGGATGATGTATTATTTAGAAGCAAATAGAAAGTTACTGGAAGAATCATCAGCACTGGCACAGGGTAGAAAGGTGCTTTTCTGCATTTAAAAGTTCTTCTACACAGCTCTAGCCACTAACTATTTTAAATAAAGGCATCAGGCAGCCTCAGAGTATTCTGAGCTCTGTAACTTTAGAGATACAGTAAGTTCTTTCTGGGTAGGGTCACAGAAGGGAGAAAAGGACACAGCCCATGCCTGATCTATCCTGGCCAAAGAGAAAGACAAAGAGCTTCTTTCTCACAGATTCAGTTTGATAACACAATGGAAAGGGCTCTGAATGGTGGCCTGGAGAACTATGGTTGCCTCAGCCTGGGTCATGGCCCACTCTGTGACCAGGATGGTGAAGATGTTACTGGAGAAAGGGAATGTAGGGGATGTTGGGCAGACCAACAACAGCCTCCACAGGTGTCAGTGTCATCAATTCACTCAACAAATACCTGCTAGGATAATCTAGGATATGCTATACATGGGGACACAGAAATGAGTGAAACAAGTTTCTAATCCCGAGGTACTGACAATTTAATGCAGAGGTAAAAGACAATTTAGGTGAGGTGACAAAATTATCACACAATGAAGCAACGGTGAACAGTTCTACATGATATATAATTAAGTGCTGAATTATGTGGTGCTGACCACAAGTGATGTGGTTGTTCTAAGGAGATGAAAATCAATACAGTAGTCATGAACCTAAATTAGGATTTAAGGGATGGGGAGAATTTGGCTAGAAGAAGATAGGGGAAGGAATTAAAAGGGAAGGAGTGGGAATTCAGAGGAAAAAGACTACTATGAGTGGAAGAATGGAGATAGAAATGACAGTCAGAGAGGAGACAGGCTTGAGAAAAGCATAGTGTGCAGTAGGTGAGAGCTCACAAACTACACAGCTAAGGCTGGTACCATCCCTCCACGCCAGAACAATGTCAGTGGCCTCATGATGCTGAAGGCATTCACATGTGTTAGAATTTGACAGGAACTACATCCTTAGTTACCAACCCCTTCTACTTAATCACAGTGGGGAACAGGGAGTGGAGGGGGAGGAAGAGTGAAATTATCCATGTGAGATCAGGAAGAGATCAATGGTATCAGAATGGTGGGCACTTCCATATGTGCATAACCTTGGAGAGGCTAATATAGCCAGTAAGGAATACAGGAGGGCAAACTGTAACTTGAATGATGGATGAATTAAAACCAGCTAAAAAAAACTCTTAAACCCCATAATTTGGGAATCTTTACTTGACTTCCTAACTAAAATATTTTCACACATTTCTGCAGCCTTAGAATGAAATCCAAATGTTTCAGCATGGCATATATGGCCTTGTCTACCTTTAACTCTTGTCTACCTTTTCAGCCTTGCTCCCACCTCTACCTGAGAGGCTCTGGAGGTAGGGAACTGGGTGCACTTCTCTGAAACTTGATCGTATCATGCTTTCTCATGTCTCTGGGTTGCCTTTTTGAGTGGTCCTTTCCTCTTCCTCTGCTTGGCTAATTCCTACTTATCCTCTAAGACTCAGTTTGGCTGCGGGTTCGGATCCTATATAGGAATGGCCGGTGCGCTCACTAGCTGAGCGCTGTGTGGGCGACACCATACCAAGGGTTGCGATCCCCTTACTGGTCACGAAAAAGACAAAAAAAAAACAAAAAAAAACTCAGTTTGAATATTTCTTCTTCTATGAAGTGTAGGATTATGGGTGATTTAGATTTACTTATTTGTGCTTATTTGCATTTTTAACTTGTTTATTATAAACATGGCTATTTTTCAGAATGTAAGTATCAGGGAAAAGGCCATTCAAGTAAATAGAACATATGAACAAGGGGAAAGACCACTATGTAGGACTACTCCATACCTCTCTACAAAGTAATCCTAGGGGTAATTCAAGAATTAAAGTCTAAATTCAAAACCAAAATGATTATCTTTTATGCCCATTGGACTAGCAAAGATTAAAAAACAAACAAATAATGTCTAGTAGGAAAGTCTTATTTACTATTGGTAGAAATATAAATTGGTATGATCTTTTTGGAGAGTTGTTGGCAATAACTATCAGAAACGTATATATTGTTTTACTTCCTAGTAACTTCTAGGAATTTATTCTGTAGAAAATACTTGCACAAGTGGACAACTATACACATTAACAGGAAAGTCTATGTAATTTGTGGGTGCAGAGCAAAATGAAAATGTAGAACCCCTTATTAAAAAACATGGAAAAAATGCAATTAAAAGTACTAAAACATAAAACCTTTTAGTCTCCTCTGTGGTCTTTTTCTTGAGCTATCATGGTGGGTTTTTGTTTTTGTTTTTATGCTTTGTTTTTAAAATTGTGGTAAGAACACTTAACATGAGATCTCTGCCCTTTTAACCAATTTTTATGTGTACAATATAGTATTGTTAAGAGGTATGATATTGTACAGCATATCTCTAAAACTTATTCCTTTTATTCATTGTCTCATTGTGTTTTTTAAAATTTGCTATTGATGTCATGCTCCCTCAGGCACGGGGTGTTTTACAGGCAAGTGGTGCCTTGGGTCCTGCTCCTGTAACTCAGCCCTAAAGGCATATGTGCCTGACCCTGACCCAAGTGTCTAGGCCTCTGCCCCATAGAGGAACACAGGACAGCAATGGTCATCGGGTGTGGGTGAGTGGGGTGGTGACACTAAGTTTGGTGAGCTGGCAAATGAGAATCCATTCTGGGGATGTGGGAAGGAGGCAGAAGACAGGGCATGTGTAAGCCAAGGACATAAGCTCCTGGCACATTCTCCATTGTTCGATAAAACATCACTTTAAAACACAAATTCAAAAATAAAATTATTAAGAAATTTTTTTTTTTGTCTTTTTCGTGACCGGTAAGGGGATCACAACCCGTGGTGTGGTGTCGCCCGCACTGCGCTCAGCCAGTGAGCGCACAGGTCAGTCCTATATAGGATCCGAACCTGTGGTGGGAGTGTCGCTGTGCTCCCAGCCCCGCACTCTCCTGAGTGCGCCACAGGGCCAGCCGAAAATTATTAAGAATTTTAAGACAACAACCAAAGAGCATTAAACCCCATGCACGGGTCCTTTCTGCATGCAGGATCCTGTGTGACTGCACTGACCATTAGCCCATGAAGCCAGTTTTGCACATAAGTTTGTACATACAGCATTGGTTATAATAGTAAAATGTAATAAACCAAATTGCTCATTAATAAGTGATTAAACAAGTAGACTATGGTAAAAACACACAACAAAAAAATCATGCAACCATTACAAAATGAGACACATCTATGAATACTGATATAGTTTTCTAACACACACGAACAAGGAAGGTTACAGAGTATTAGGTATGCCACATCCCACTAAAATATTGACACAGAGAGAGAGAGAGAGTGTGAGTGAGTGTGAGTGTGTGTGTGTGTGTGTGTGTGTGTGTGTGTGTGTGTGTGTAAAGGAACATTGGAAGGGATACCCCAATCTCTTCAAAGTGATTAGGGGAGAAAGAAATTTTTACTTTTTACTTTATACACCTATAATATTTCAGTTTTTACTATTAGGATATATTGTTTCTGAAATAAAATGACTATTAAAAGATTTAACTCTAACACCTAGAAACGTCTGTCTGAACTGTAGTGAAATCTGCTTCCTGACTTGTAAAAGACTATTCATTAAAATTCTTACCATTCTTTTTACCTTTATAAAAAAATTCTTACCATCATTGCTGGGCTCTTCAATAGGAGATGCTGAGTCCATACAGTCTAGGATTCCCTTTGTGACCTCAACAACCTGAAGCCTTCTGACCCTCCCTAGGTCTGTATTTCTCAACCCTTCCTCCAATTGTTTGACCACCTCTTTTCCAGGCTGGGAAGTCAGAACAGTAATCTGAAAATAAATCCTAGAATTAATGTGTCTGTTCTCTCTGATGTACAGAGTGAGATAACAGCTTGTATCTTAGGATAAACACAGCAGAAGTCTGTGGTAGTGGCTATTGTGTTTAATGTGGAGAGGAGGATTTAATTGTAACTTACAAATCAAATTTCATTTGACAGATTCTGGTGAGACAGGTCATCACAGGACCTTTCCAATCAGTCTGAGCTGATCTCAGAAATATCCCATACACCGTTAGCCTCTACACGTACATAGCCTCCCTCATTATCAACATCTTCCACCAGAGTGGCACATTTTTTGTAACTGATGAATCTACATTGACACATCATAATCATCCAAGTCCATAGATTACATTAGGATTCACTCTTGGTGTGGCATTTTATGGGTTTGTACAAATGTATAATGACATGTACCCATCAGTATAATATCATACAGTAAAAGAAAATACAGAGTATTTTCACTGCCCTAAAAATCCTCTGTGCTCCACCTGTTCATCCTGCTCTCCTCCAACCCGACAACCATTGACGTTTTTACTGTCTCCATAGTTTTGCCTTTTCCAGAATGTCATATGGTTGGAATCATACAGTATGTAGCCTTTTCAGACTGACTTCTTTCACTTAGTAACATGCATTTAAGAATCCTCCACATCTTTCTGTGGCTTGATAACTGATTTCTTTTTAGCACTGAATTATATTCCACTGTCTAGATGTACCACAGCTTATTTATCCATTCATCTCCTGAAGGACATCTTGCTTGCTTCCAAGTTTGGCAATTATGAATAAAGCTGCTATAAACACCATGTGCAGGTTTTTGTGTGGACTAGGTTTTCAGCTCCTTTGGGTAAATACCAAGAAGTGTGACTGCTGGATTTTATGGTAAGAATATGCTTAGTTTTGCAAGAAACCATTAAACTGTTTTCCAAAGTGGCTGTAGCATTTTGCATTCTTGCCAGCAGTGAATGAGAATTCCTGTTGCTGCACACCCTCACTAACATTTGGTGTTGCTTTGGATTGAGTGTACTCTCAAAACTTGACACTGCGACAGTGTTAAGAGGGTAGAAAATCCTATTATAGTAATTGAAAGGTGGGGCCTTGAAGAGGTGATTTGATTGAAGGACCATGCTGTAGTGAATGGATTAAAACCGTTGGTCATGGGCATGGTTCTGAAGGTTTTAAAAAGGGGAGCACATGAGGAATTAATCTCTTGCTCTCTCTGCTCTGCCATTTCACAATGTGATGCCTTGCCATTACTGTCACCACCACCAAGGCCTTCACCAAATGTGTTTGTTTACTTTAATTGATGTTTGAATGTTTAATCAGGCTTGCACACCTGAGATAAATTTCACCTGGTTGTGGTATATAATTCTTTTTATATATTGTTGGATTTGATTTGCTAATATTTTGTTGAGGATTTCTACAACTATACTCATGAGAGATGTTGTCTGTAGTTTTCTTTTCTTGTAATGTCTTTGTCAGTTCTAGTATTGAATAATTCTGGCTTCATAGAATGGGTTAGGAAGTTATTCCCTTTGCTTTTATCCTCTGAAAAAGATTGTAGAAAATTGGTATAATTTCTTCCTCAAATGTTTGGTATAATTCAACAGTGAACCTATTAGTGCCTGGTGCTGTTTTGGAATGTTATTAATTATTGATTCTATTTCTTTAATAGATATAGGTGTATTCATATTGTCTATTTCTTTTTGTGTCAGTTTTGGCAAATTGTATCTTTCAAGGAACTGGTACATTTCATCTAGGTTGTCAAATATGTGAGCATAGAGTTGTTCATAGTGTTCCTTTATTATCTTTTTAATGTCTGTAGGATCTGTAGTGATGTCCTATCTTTTATTTCTGATATTAGTAATTTGTGTCCTCTCTTTTTTTCTTAGTCTGGCTAGAGGTTTATCAATTTTATTGATCATTTCAAAGAACCAGTGTTTGGTTTTGTTGATTTTCTCTATTAATTTCCTGTTTTCAATTTTGTTGATTTCTGCTCTATTCTCTATTCCATTCTATTTCTTTTCTTCTGCTTACTTGGATTTAATTTGTTCTTCTTTTTTTTTAGTTTCCTAAGGTGGAAACTTAGATTATTAATTTTAGATCTTTCTTCTTTCGTAATGTATGCATTCAATGATATAAATTTCCCTCCGAGCACTGTTTCCTCTGCAGCCCACAAATTTGATAAGTTGTGTTTTCATTTTCATTTAGTTCAAAATATTTTAAAATTTCTTTTGCAATTTCTTCTTTGACACATGGGTTTTTTGAGTGTGTTGTTTAATCTCCACATGTTTTGGGATTTCCAGGTATCTTTGTTATTGATTTCTACTTTAATTCCATTGTGGTCTGACAGCAGATATTGTATGATTTCTATTCTTTTAAATTTGTTAAGGTGTGTTTTATAACCCAGAATGTGGTCAACTTTGTGAATGTTCAACATGTGCTGGAGAAAAATGAAAGTGATTGACTTTTGTATATTAAACTTGTATGCTGTAAACTTGTTATAATTGCTTATTAGTTCCAGAATTTTTTTGCTGATTCTTTCCGATTTTCTACATAGATAATCATGTCATCTGCAAACAAAGACAGTTTTATTTCTTCCTTCCCAATCTGTACCCTTTTGTTTCCTTTTCCCTTATTGCATTAGCTAGGATTTCCAGGACAATGTTTATTTATTTATTTTCTCTTGAGTGAAACATAATGAATTTTACTAGACTGATAACAACAATGGAATATATAAAGAATTACAGGCTGAGTGCATGTGTTTGTTATGTCCCTGTGTGTGTCAGTGCGAGTTGAGCAATTCAGGACAATGTTTAAAAGGAATGGTGAGAAGAGACATCCTCACCTTGTTCCTGATCTTAGAAGGAAAGCTTTGAGTTTCTCACCAGTAAGTGTGATGTTAGCTATAGTTTTTTGAAGATATTCTTTATGAAGTTGAGGAAATTTCCTTCTATTACTAGTTTACTGAGTTTTGTTTTTTTTTTTTTAAATCATTACTGGGTATTGGATTTTATCAAATGCTTTTTCTGCATCTATTCATGTGATTTTTCTCTTTCAGCCTGTTGATGTGATGGATTACTTTAATTGATGTTTGAATGTTTAATCAGGCTTGCACACCTGAGATAAATTTCACCTGGTTGTGGTATATAATTCTTTTTATATATTGTTGGATTTGATTTGCTAATATTTTGTTGAGGATTTCTACAACTATACTCATGAGAGATGTTGTCTGTAGTTTTCTTTTCTTGTAATGTCTTTGTCAGTTCTAGTATTGAATAATTCTGGCTTCATAGAATGGGTTAGGAAGTTATTCCCTTTGCTTTTATCCTCTGAAAAAGATTGTAGAAAATTGGTATAATTTCTTCCTCAAATGTTTGGTATAATTCAACAGTGAACCTATTGGTGCCTGGTGCTGTTTTGGAATGTTATTAATTATTGATTCTATTTCTTTAATAGATATAGGTGTATTCATATTGTCTATTTCTTTTTGTGTCAGTTTTGGCAAATTGTATCTTTCAAGGAACTGGTACATTTCATCTAGGTTGTCAAATATGTGAGCATAGAGTTGTTCATAGTGTTCCTTTATTATCTTTTTAATGTCTGTAGGATCTGTAGTGATGTCCTATCTTTTATTTCTGATATTAGTAATTTGTGTCCTCTCTTTTTTTCTTAGTCTGGCTAGAGGTTTATCAATTTTATTGATCATTTCAAAGAACCAGTGTTTGGTTTTGTTGATTTTCTCTATTAATTTCCTGTTTTCAATTTTGTTGATTTCTGCTCTATTCTCTATTCCATTCTATTTCTTTTCTTCTGCTTACTTGGATTTAATTTGTTCTTCTTTTTTTTTAGTTTCCTAAGGTGGAAACTTAGATTATTAATTTTAGATCTTTCTTCTTTCGTAATGTATGCATTCAATGATATAAATTTCCCTCCGAGCACTGTTTCCTCTGCAGCCCACAAATTTGATAAGTTGTGTTTTCATTTTCATTTAGTTCAAAATATTTTAAAATTTCTTTTGCAATTTCTTCTTTGACACATGGGTTTTTTGAGTGTGTTGTTTAATCTCCACATGTTTTGGGATTTCCAGGTATCTTTGTTATTGATTTCTACTTTAATTCCATTGTGGTCTGACAGCAGATATTGTATGATTTCTATTCTTTTAAATTTGTTAAGGTGTGTTTTATAACCCAGAATGTGGTCAACTTTGTGAATGTTCAACATGTGCTGGAGAAAAATGTGCATTCTTCTGTTGTTGGATGATATAGTACATAGATGCTGATTATATTCGGTTGATTGGTGATATTGTTTTCAACTATATCCTTACTGATGTCTTGCCTGCTGAATCTGTCCACTTCTGATAGAGGGGTGCTGAAGTTTCCAACTATAATGGATAATGGATTCATCTATTTCTCTTTGCAATTCTATTAGTTTTTGCCTCATGTAGTTTGACTCTGTGTTGTTAGGTACATACACATTAAGGATTGTTATGTCTTCCTGGAGAATTGACCTGTTTATCATTATGTAATTCCCTTCTTTATCCCTAACAACTTTCCTTGCTTTGATATCTGCTTTGTATGAAATTAATATAGCTATTCCCGCTTTCTTTTGATTAGTGTTAGCATGGTATATTTTTCTTCATTCATTTACTTTTAGTCTACATGTCTTTATATTTAAAGTGGGTTTCCCATAGACAACACATAGTTAGATTTTGCTTTTAGATCTACTCTGACATTCTCTTTTAGTTGTGCATTTAGAGCATTGGCATTCAAAGTGATTATTGATATAGTTGGGCGGATATCTACCATATTTGTTACTATTTTTTATTTGTTGTCCTTATTGTTTATTCCTATTTTTTGTCTCCCATTCTTTTTCTGCCTTTTGTGGTTTTAATTGAACATTTTATATAATTCCATTTCCTCTCCTTTCTTAACATATCTCTCCTTTCTTAGCATTTTATTTATTTATTTTTTAGTGGTTACCCTAGAGTTTGCAATGTACATTTACAACTAATCCAAGTCCACTTTCAAATAACACTATACCACTTTACAGGTAGTGTAAATACCTTATAATAACAAAATAATCCTAATTCCTTTCTTCTATCTCTTATATTATTGCTGTCATTCATTTCACTTATAAATAAACATATATAATCACCTGTAATGCATACATAACCAAATGCATTGTTGCTATTATTATTTTGAATCAACTGTTATCTGTTCAATCAACTAAGAAAAATAAAAATTTATTTTTCCTTCACTTATTCCTTCTTCGATGCTTTTTCTTTATGTAGATCTGAGTTTCTGACATATTATTTTTCTTTTCTCTAGAGAATTTTTTTCAACATTTCTTGCAAGGCAGGTCTATTGGCAATAGATTCCCCTAATTTTTGTTTGTCTGGGGGAGTCTCTTTTTCTCCTTCACTTAAAAAAATTTCTTAAAATTTTTATCATACATGCTGTGTTCATGGAAAATCAAGGCCTTTGAAGGAACTTGATTAGATACAAATTATGTTCAGCTCTGAGCTGGTTACAAATCATGTTTAGCATAGAAACAGTTAAGCTAAAGCTTTCTTATCTTTATAGGTTGCCATCATTTTCTTGATTTCAGCAATAGCTTTCCCTGAATTCAGACCCTAGGGACATGTCCTTGTGTAGTTCATGATGGTGTGGCAGTGGTAGAGAGAGAATGGATCCTCAAGCTTGGCCAGGAGCTCCTTGGTGAAGTCATCTCTGGTACTGATCATACAGTGATAGGCGTGCAGAAGAACCACAGGCCACAAATATTTGTTTCTGTTCCACCAATAGCTGTGGCAGCTGGTGCTACAGCAAGCTCAGAGGATGAATTTGTAGAGGCATCCAGTTTGTCACAATCTTCTATGTATCGCAGATACTGCTGTTTGCCTTCCTGGGATTCATCCTTCTTCAAATAAGGCTCAATGGATTTGTACTGTGCTTAGAAGTTGCTCAAATCAGGAACAAGATCCTTTATCATATACATATGTGATAGAAAGAAGAATGTAGATTTCTGAAACTTCATTGAGGTTGATGTTGATCCTTCGTGCAAGCTACAGTGTTGCCTCCATTGATGGTCATTGCACAAGAGCTGCAGATACCTTCTCTGCATGATCTATGGAAGGTCAAGGTCGAATCAATTTCATTCTTAATCTTGATTAAAGCATCCAGTACCATGGGGCCACATTTATTAAGATCAATTTCATGAGTCTGCATATGAGGTTTATCTCCAGCCTTGTCTGGGCCCCATTGTTAGATGGCAAATTTCTTGATTTGGGGAGGTGTGGCTGCAGCTGTTTGGGTCTCTTGGCAGGCCTTCAGGCAGGCTCCATCAAGGGTTGTGGGTGGGAACTGAAACCTCAAGAAGAGTCTGACCACTGCCACCATCTCGGCTCTGGACTCCCCTTCACTTTTGAAGGATAATTTGACAGGGTACAGAATTCTAGGCTGGTGTTTTTTTTTCCCTCACAATGCTTTAAATATTTTACTTCTCTCTTGCTTGCATGGTTTCTGAGGAGCAGTTGGATGTAGTTCTTATCTTAATCCTCTATAGGTAAGGTGTTTTTTCCCTCTGGCTTCTTTCAGGATATTTTTCTTTATCTTTGATTTTCTGTAGTTTTTTTTTGTTGTTGTTGTTGTTGTTTGTTTGTTTGTTTTAATTTTTTGGCATTTATTCTGCTTCATGTTCTCTGAGATTCCTGGATCTATGGTTTGGTGTCTGACCTTAATTTAGGAAATGCTCAGTCATTACTGTTTCAAATATTTCTTCTGTTCCTTTCTCTCTTCTCCTTCTGGTAGTCCCATTATGTGTATGTTATACCTTGTTATACCTTTTATAGTTTTTGGATATTATGTTCTGTTTCTTTTTTCTTCTTCTCCTTTCAGTCTTGTTCTCTTTGCTTTTCAGGTTTGGAGCTCTCTACTGATATATGCTCAAGCTCAGACATTCTTTCCTCAGTGATGACAAACCTACTAATAAGCTTATCAAAGGTATTATTCATTTCTGTTGCAGTGTTTTTGATCTCCAGCATTTCTTTTTGTTTCTTTCTTAAGATTTCCATCTCTCTGCTGACACTGCCCTTCTGTTCTTTCATGCTGTCTACTTTATCCATTAGAGCCCTTAGCATATTAATCATAGTTGTTTTAAATTCTATGGTCTGATAATTCTTCTTCTTTTTTTTTTTTTAAAAGATGACCGGTAAGGGGATCTCAACCCTTGGCTTGGTGTTGTCAGCACCACGTTCAGCCAGTGAGCAAACCGGCCATCCCTATATAGGATCCGAACCCGCGGCCTTGGTGTTATCAGCACCGCACTCTACCGAGTGAGCCATGGGCCGGCCCAATAGTCTGATAATTCTAACATCCCTGTCACGTCTAGTTCTGATGTTTGCTCCATCTCTTCCAACTGTATCTTTTGCCTTTTAGTATGCCTTATAATTTTTCCTTGATAGTCAGACATAATGTATCTGGCTAAAGAAACTGCTATAAATAGGCCTTTAGTAATGTGGTGGTAACATATAGAGGGAGTGGAAGCATTCCATAAACTTCACAAGTGTTTCTCAGTTTCTGTCCCTCCCCCTTCAGGTGGGATAGGATGGCTAGAGTGGGCTGGAGTTGGGTATTTCCTTTCTCCTACATGGAAATCTATGGCTGGTTGGAGTTTGGTATCTCCCTTCTCCTAGGTCAGTTAAGCTCTAATAACACTTCAGCAGGTTAGGCTCTGTTTAACTAGTTTCTCTTGAAGGCAGAACTTATGAAGAACAGAATGCTCTGGTGTATTTCAAAATGGTTCCTTTTCCCCTCCCCCTGTCAGAGGCAGGGGGCAATTTTCTCCTGATATTTACTGTGAGGAGCTTGTTTGAGCTCCTGGAAGAAAACTCACAAAAGTGAGGACCCCCTCAGGACTAGATCCTCCTGGAGTTTTTAAATTTCAGACTTGTCCACACCCAGCCTCCAGCAATTGGTCAATTGTAGTTCTGGTTTTCCTACCCTAGCACTGGTTCCCGTGGAGGTTTCTGCTCCAGTATTTTGTGATTCTCTGTGTCCACCTGTCTACTTCTCAAATTTTAGAGACAACAGTTTGCCCTGTGACCTCATTTCTCTAGGGATCTAAAAACAGTTGTTGATTTTTCAGTTTGTTTAGCTTTTTACTAGTTGTTAGGATTGAGTGGTGACTTCTAAGTTCCTACATGTGGAACTGGAAACCAGAAGTCCCAGAAGTCCCACACAATTATTTTTTAATTCATCTGTTTGATGCCCGAGGTTACCAGAGACTGAAAATGTTTTAACTCATACTCACTCATGCACCCAGTGGAGTACCCAGCCATGAGTTATTTATATTTTTAAGATTGTCTCAGTCTGGTACCAGAATAGTAGCAATTTTTATATTTGCATATTTGCTAATCCCAAGAAAATTTACTGAATTTGATGCCAAGATTTGATTAATAACAACTGTAAATTCTTAAGGGTACTCAGGTAAATATATAGATACCAATCTAGAAAGTTGAACGTTTGCTTTACAAGTTCAAAAAATTCAGAAGCAGATGGCATATTCAGATTTTATTTTGGTTTCAGTTTTTCCTTAGAATTCACTTCAGTTCATACTATTAGAGCTCCTCTCTATGCCCATCTCTATAATAAGAGCTATACAGGTTATATTGAAATGAGAAACATGTTTTCTGCCTGCAGGGAGTCGAAAATCTAGTCATGGAAATTACATTTAATTTGTATGAAACAGAGAACAACGTAAGGATGATAAATAATGAAGCACCCCGTGGACTGACAGGGGAAGATGGCTTGAAGTCCTAAAAGCCTCTCTTACTTACCTCCAGGGAAGTGTAGGTCAGAGCTGCACCTATGGTCACATGTTTGCTGTATTGTTTGAATTGCTGGAGCCCATCCTCTACTGCCAGTGGCAGAGAAGTACCTTGTGGTCTGAAACAACCTTCTCTCTGTAACATGCGGAGCTCTGAGATGCAGGCCTGTAACCTAGTGAAGTTCTCTTTCACTTGCTGCAGAGAAAAATGAATCAAAGATATTAATCTTTAGCGATCCAGGTTTCAGATTAGTTGGCAGTCTAACTTCATTATCGATTACTCCTCAGGGGTCCCTTCCCTTTCTGAAAATCTGTTTATTTGACCCACATCTACAGAATGCCTACTATGTTCTAGGCACTGCACTAAAATCTTCCCTACACCGAGGAAGGAAAATTTCTAGCCAAAAAGGTTTTGATTATGTAGAGCTACCAGAAACAGGAAAGAAAGTGTTTTAACTCATTCACTCGCCCAGGGAAGGCCAAGTTGTGACTGCTTAGTTTTATTTTGGGGTGCCCTGCAAACTGGAGGCCTAGCAGGGGTTAGTCTTAGACATTATCTTCATTTCTCAGTCAGTTTGGGCACTGAGAGTTTCTCTATTTAAGGATGATGTTTCCTCAGAAATGAGCATTTTGATGTGGCTGATCATGTCAGAATTGATATAAGGTCCTACTGAATCTACTCCTCAGGATCACTTCAGTAAAGAGGAGATACTTGGCTTAGTCTGCAGTCAGCTTAAGGAGCAAACATACAAAACTCAAATAGGTGACCTCTTGGTTCTTTCTCCTCATCCTCCTTTATAAAAACTTGTTCTTATGAAGTAATCTAATTAAATCTGATTGTAGGTCAATGTTTCTTCTCATATAGATACATGCATTTTGAATAAATGTGGACTGAAGATTTGAAAAAATTCACTTCCAATTCACTGTCTGAAGGAATTAATTCCATACATTATGAGCAGGTAGGGGGCCGACCCATGGCTCACTTGGGAGAGCGTGGTGCTGACAACACCAAGTCAAGGGTTAAGATCCCCTTACCGATCATCTTTAAAAAAACAAAAAACAAACAAACAAACAAAAAACAGGTAGGGAGTAGGGAGGAATTATATTTTAGAATGCGGAAACTTTCCTGACCAAAGAGCAGAACTGAGCGATATCTGCAATGCACAAGATACAATACTGCCAGGGTACAAAGATTGCTTAAATTGACCCATGCCTCGCTTAACCCCACAGCTGCTTACTTTGCTTGTGTGAGTCTCTCTCTGAGTTTCTGAGGGAAAACACAAGAAATTGGACTAATTTTTGTAAAAAGAGAACTTGCAATCTAGATGGTAAGATAAGAAAACTACTCAAGAAATAAATGAGAACAAATCAGACCATAGGTATAGATAGCCTAGCAGGCTTTGAGCATTTCTTCTCATGTATTCCCTAAAATAATCTGAAAAACAATGTACTCCTTTATACATTTTTAAGTTGATATCTATATTTTTAAATTCTAAGCATAAGTAGTTGTTAAGGATGTAACTTTCAGCATGTTTTAAATATCAACATTTAAAAATATGACTATCACATTACTCTTCAAAACATAATCCAATGGAATCTAAATATAATGGTGATTTGATACACAGTATTATTCAATTTAAAAATTACATGAACAAGCTCATGTTGTTCTGGGTTTTTTTTCTTCCTTTTTTCTCCTGGAACTCGTGTTTCTATTTTACTTTCCCCAGAGTTTTATCATAATATAAAATAATTTTACGCTTGTCAATCTTTTATTGACCATTTTATCATACTTCTCTGCATTAAAAATATCTATATATTACAAGATTTCTAAGTTTCCCATGACCATAAGCTCTAAGGGGTAATCTATGTTGAGTTGTTATTAGAATTATTGTTCATATACAATTGATCAAAACAACATATATATTACCAATTTTGAGAAATAATTATTGGCATTAAGCATAAACTTTAACAGGAAATGCACCTCTTAATGGCATGGACAGGCTGGGTTCTTTTTTCAATTAGCTCAGCTTTGTGTGAATAAATAATTACTGCTCAAATGACACAACATTCAGTACCAATTCTATCCCTATTTTCTCTTGTTACAGTGCTGAGAAAACTTGTTCTCATAAATATAAGATGGAATGTCAATGAGATTGGCAAGTTCCTTCTAAGTTATATGCCAAATAGCATACAGAAAGCTACTAATAAAAATGTTTTTTTTTTTTTTTTTTTTTTTAAAGATGACTGGCAAGGGGATCCTAACCCTTGACTTGGTGCCGTCAGCACCACGCCCAGCCAGTGAGCGAACTGGCCATCCCTATATAGGATCCGAACCCGGGGCCTTGGTGCCATCAGTACCATACTCTCCCAAGTGAGCCACGGGCCGGCCCATAAAAATGATTTTTAATGATCTGTCAGCTGCTCCTCAATTTGGTCTTTTCAATTCTGTTAAAAACAAAGAATTGGAAACCACCTGGTTGCAAAAATATTTTTTAACCAGTCATAAGTCATTTACTTTCTTACACTGATACCAATATTTTGAATTTTACCTTTGGTGCTCCTGGAAAATTTTAAACTCCATGGCAATGCATCACAGTAAGATTCATAATGGTGAAAGACAGCATTTTAATTGAAAAAGTACTAGGTCTTAGCTCAGGTTTTAGATTAGACAGACTTGAGTTCATAATCTGTCTCTTCCTCTTGTTAGCTGTAGGACCTTAAGCCTAAATTTCTTCCATTAGAAATTGGAGATAATAAAAATACTTCTCTAAGTATTAAATGAATTAATTCATGGCATGTAGTAAGTATGTACCCAGTGTTAGCTGTGGTTGTTATTTTTATCACTATGAAAAACTAAAAGCACTTGGAACATTGCTGATTAAGCAGAGGGGTTTCTATTGACTTAATGGCCCTGTTTTACAACTGGCAAAAGAAGTAAAAAATATATAGTTTCTATGTAAATAACATAGTCACTCATTCATTATTAAAAAAGCATTTAATATTATGTGTTTATGATGTACTAGTTACCTAAAAAAAGACATAATTCCTGTCCTGTAATAATCTTACAAACAAGTGAGATAAGTAGCCTCAGAATACAAAGGGATATGAGCAACAATAAAGTGACATTTTTCAAAGTATGTCAGGCAGTTATTGTTTTTCTATCCCACCAGAATATAAGCTCTATTAAAGGAGGGATCTGATCTGTCTGTCTCTTTATTGCCATGTCTGCAGGGCCAAGACCAGTACCTGAAACACAGGTGGTATTACTTCTAATTCAATGAATGCATATATAATGCATTTCGGGAGGATGAAAAATATTAGTTAGAAACTGAAACTGAAAATAGATATACAGGAATTCTCTGTACTATCAATGGTAAATCTACAATTATTCAAAAATAAAATGTTTATTAAAAAATAAACCAGAGGGCCGACCCCGTGGTGCACTCGGGAGAGTGCGGCACTGGGAGCGCAGCAGCGCTCCCGCCGCGGGTTCAGATCCTATATCGGGATGGCTGGTGCGCTCACTGGCTGAGCGCGGTGCGGCCGGTCACAAAAAAGACAAAAAAAAAAAAAAAATCCCAGAAAAATAGTAGGAAAAACATGGGAGATTATCTTGTGGTAGATAAGGCCTTTGTAAACATGACAACAGAGGTAGGAAACTACAAAGGGAAAATGGAGAGATTTGACTACATACAAATTAAAATTTTATGTAAAGCAAAAGAAAATATGAGTAAAGTTAAGGACAAAAAATAAAATGGAGAAATGTGTGCAACGTAAGTGAGTAGCACGACATATAAAATCTTTAATATGAAAAAAATACTTAATATGTAAAAAGCACCTGCAAATATATAAACTAGATATCTGAATATCCCTTCTAGCACCCAACCATGTACATGCTAGATAAAATACAAACATTTTTAAAATGCATACTTGAATTCACAAGAAATTAAGAGTAATCCCTAAGTACCAAAGGGGGAGGTGGGGGTGGGGGAGGAGACAGAAAACCACAGTGTTAAACAGTTATAAAAGCCTTGGGTTTACTTGCTTATCTTGGGAACCTAGGACCTTGTGTTTCAAGAGAGCAAGAGATAAGACCTTAGGCACACATAAGGAAAAAGAGTTAGAACCCTGGCCCAAAGTTAACAGTGGTCAAAAGGCTCTCTTCTGGGCTGGCCCGGTGGCGCACTGGATAAGTGCGCCGCTTGGGAAGCGCGGCGGCGCTCCCGCCCGAGGGTTCGGATCCCACATACAGACCGGTTCCCGCTCACTGGCTGAGCGAGGCGTGGGGGCAACACCGAGGGTTGCGATCCCGTTGCCGGTCCCCAGTCCGGTACGGGGGCAACACTGAGGGTTGCGATCCGTTGCCGGACACGGAAAAAGACAAAAAAAAAAAAAAAAAAAAAGGCTCTCTTCACTCAATGAAAAGGTGGGTTAGAAAGAATTTGCTCACTGGTAAAGGGAGATGATGACAAAACTTGTTGACTGACAGGAGCTCTGAGTAGAAATATAAAAGAAATTGCTGCTGAGTATTAGAAACCACATGCTTCTCTACAGGCCTGGGATAGCCTAAGTTAAAAATTTAATTTAGATGGTCACAGGTTGATAGCACCCCAGGGCACCTGGCTCAAGCAAACACAAATCCTCTCTGGAGGTAGACCCTAAACTCAGACCTCATAGCACTCTCACAAATTAGGATAAACTAAACATAAACTCATAATCCAAAATTACAAAATTGATGAGAAAATAAACATCATGAGTCAGAGTCATCAGAAACAAAAAGAGCAGGATTATAACACCAGCCACTTCAGATATTGGAATTATTAAATATGCTTAAATATCTTTAAATGTTTAAAGAAATAAAGGAGGAAATCAAAATCACAAACAAAGAATAAAAAACTATCAAAAAGGGCCAGGCAGATTTAAAAAATAACCAAACAGAACTTCTAGAAATTAAATTATAATAGTTGAAATTAAAAACTTAATGAATGGTTTAATCAACAGATTAAACACAACTGAAGAGAGAATTAGTGAATTTGAAATAAAGCTGAAGAAATACCGTAGACCACATCACAGAAAGACAAAGAGATGGAAAACATGAAAAACATTACAATAGAAATGGAAGAAGAAGTGAGAATACTTAACATACATCTAATTAGAGTCTCAAATGGGTGGAAAAAATATAATGGGGAAAAGGCA